CTTTGCAAATTTCTATTTGAATATGGACAACTCTCATGTCTTGAGAATTCACAATGCAAACTGAATTAAGATGACCCAACTTGGTGGAGATTGGAAACACCAAGCACAGTAATCATTGATTAATACTAGGTACAAAGTCAGTAACCATTGAGTAATACTGGTTGATAGATAAATGGTTGGGTTTACCCACACTGCCTGCAGCCCACTTCCCCTCTTCCCAAGCTGTAGAAGAACGGGGAATATTACCAGTCAGGAGAGGACAGAACAACAGCTTCAACAGATGCTGTCTTCATCTGTACTTGCCGACTCATCTCTCAGTGGTGATGGGAATTATTAGTTTTCTAAGGCTTAAAGGTCTATCCCAGTAGCAGCCCTGGGTTTCATCCTGTATATACAGCAAAATATAACCCATGCAGTAAAGAAATCAACCAAGAAACTAAAGTGAGCAAAGTCTCTAGTCCTGCTTATGTCATCTGTTTACAAGACGAAGCCTCTGTCTGAAGTGGCAGGCAACCACAGTTGCAGATCTCAGTCGACCTTACACGTCAAGCATTTCAACTTTGTCTCGCAATGTCATGACATTTCTCTGCTTCTTGGGAGCACTTCCAGCACCACTCAGGTGACACCTGGCTTGGGCCCTGTAGTGTTACTCAAGGTTTGTGGTATTGCACTAAACACAATGAAAAATATAGGAGAACAGAGCAAGACCTAGCGAGACAAACCTCTGGGGGGGGCATGATAAGTGACAAGGGACTTTTGACAATTGAGTTCACCATAATAGTGACAGGAGGTGGCTATGAAATTATTACATTAGGACAGTATGGTCAACAGTTAATTTTTTTCCGTTATGATTTAAATCTGCATCTTTAAATTTGTTTGCATTTCTCTTGACTTACAATAGTGCCATATACGATCTGTGTGTATGCATAAGTTTTGACAAATTTTGTACTATAGGTTTACACAATAATATCTACTATATTCTTTTATAATAGATCTGTATATATTTTTATGTTAGCAAATGATGGAATAGACTAGTATCTACATATATTTTGTACAGTCATGACTTTTTCTTAATTTTTTCAATATTTATAGGCTACTCATTCATCTCCAAGTTCTTTCAAATTATCACAAATCTCCAAAAAAATTCCCATATATTTATTGAAAAATATCCATATATAAGTGGACCCATGCAGTTCAAACTCATACTGTTCAAGGCTCAGCTGTAGATGCTCATGCTTACTGGAAATATTCTTTATTATCCCCAGGTTATAGACAGCAAAGCTGAGGACTTAAGAAGTAATTTGCTCAATGTGACACTGGTAATAAGTTAGCCATGATTTAAAACCAGCTATCTAAGTGGTGATAATTCAACTCAGTCCAACAGATGTAAAGGCCTAGGACAGAAGTCACTAAGTGTCACTCTAGGGTTGGAAAATAAAGGATCCTCATGGGTTAGGAAAACAGTTAAAAACTGAAATCAAACTTCTAAGGTCATGTCCAAGTACAGCCATAGCAAATAGTTCTGGGGACGCAAAAGAAAGGGCAATCAATTCTGACTGTGGACATTTCAAGTGTTTTCACCCAAGAGGAACCGTTTGACCTGTATCCAGAAGGATGAATGGATTTTTAAGAGATAACCTGAGTTTTCTTTCCCCCTTTTCTAGGCTGATTCCAACAAAACCAGAATTGATGAGGCTAACCAACGTGCAACAAAGATGCTGGGAAGTGGTTAAGGGCACACCCTGGGTTCTCTTCCGAATGCTGTCGGGCAAGCTCGCTCCTTCATGCTTTTCTCATTGTATCACCTAGTAGGTCTGCACATATACACACATCAGTCCAACCTCATCGTGAATGTTGTCCTGTGTCATTTGTTGGCTTCCTGACAATACGATGTGTCTTTTGTTCTCTCTGGGTCTCTTTCTTTCCGAAGGTTGTATATAGTGGTCATTTGGTGGCTTCAACTCCCTACGTAAAATGTCTTGAGTTTCATTTTTCCTTTCCTCTGTCCAGTGGCATTTGCTGAATGACAGTTTAGGAATGCTCAATGTGCTGTTGATTCTTTCAATACACAGTATTGTTCTTGTAAAACTGTGACATTCCACAGAGCTACTGCCACAGTCCTTTCTTTGAGTGTCAGGCTCTGAATCTCTCAAAATGTGCTGTCTTTGGTTCCTCATGGCTGTTACCTGTCTTTATGATTTCATGATTAGACAATGTGGAATTACATAACAGGCAATGCACTAAAGTGATGTGATTTATGCATTTATGCATGAGAACTAAATAGATTTTTTTAGATTCCTACTTAAACAACAACTTTCCATGACAGTAGCATACTGATGAGAAAACACACACATATACAACAACAGCAACAACAACAGAACAACAAAGCATGCTCAGTATTGAGACACTGTCAAGATTAAGTTATACCAGCAAAACCGCAGTAGTGTCACTTTCTTTCTGTCATATATAGACTTCTAAACCATAATCATCCTTTTTTTAAAAAAAGAAGTTTAAAAAAAGATGGATTTGACACACTCGCCATTCAATCATTTCCAGCAAAATATATGTTTAGCTGAAACTATGTCAAATGGATGTAATATAGGTTTTGTTTGCTGCTTTTGGAGGCTATGTTTTGGAGAAAGCAAGCCTGCTGTGAAACTGTGGAGATGTAAATTTTATGAGGCTGACTTATTAATCACCATTTCCTGTGTGGTTTGTTATGAGTACAATTCTTTGTTGCTTAATCTAGAGCTATGCACACCAAATTGCTGAGATGTTTAGTAGCTGATAAAGAAACCTTTTAAAAATAATATAAATGAATGAAATATAGATAAACTGTGAGATAATATCATTATAGCATGTACTATTAAATTCCTCCTGTCTCCTCTGTTGGTTTGTGAAGTGATTGACATTTTGTAGCTAGTTTAAAATTATTAAAAATTATAGACCCCAGATATCTGCTTTACTTTCTTCGTGGACCCGCCTGATTTTGCGCTCACCCAAGAACAAGATGCCTGGCCGCTCTGTCCCCTGGCTCCTAAGAAGCCAGTTCTGTGTGCCAAGGACAGTGTGTGGAAAGACCAGAGATCTTTCTTTTAAACATAATTCCAATGGCAACTGACAACTTGGCTTGATTTTCATGCTCTGTTAGAAATATTCATGTATAAATTCAGCATTGGCTATGGGAGAAAATGTAGTTTTTTAGCAGACATAGAAAAAAATCCATGGGAAACAAAATCTGTGATCCTCAGAGTTGGCCCTACTTGTATTCAGGTACATCTGGTGTCAGTCAGTTCCTATTTCTGTTCCTCTCCCCCAAATCCCCACCAACCAGATTTGAGCCCTCCATTACCTCCACCACCACTGCCCCCACATTCTTTTAAATGAGCTTTATTGATTCACCATGAAATTTACCCAGTTAAATACATATATGATTCAAACAGGATTTTTTTGTATATTCAAAGAATTGTACAATCTAAATTTAGAACATCTTAACACTCCAAAAAGAAACTCCATACCTATTAGCAGCCCCCTCATCTCACTTCTCCCAGCCCTGAGCTCCAGCCTGTTTACCAGTGTCCTGCTTGTCCTAGTGATTTGCCTACTCTGAACATTTCATGGACATGGAGTCATATGATCTGTGGTCTTTTGTAACTGGCTTCTTCCAGTTAGCGTAAAATTGTCAAAGTTCACGGTAGTGTATGTATCAATAATTCTTTTTTTTAATTAATACTTCCTTTTTTATTTTTCTTTTTTAGTAATAGCCATTCTAACATAAATCTTCCTTCCTTTTATGGCCAAATTATATCCATTGTATGTATATATCATATTTTGTTTTATCTGTCCATCTGTTTATGAATATTTGAACTGTTTCCACTTTTTGACTATTATGAATAATGCTTCTCTGAACACTCACATACAATTTTTGTGTGGACATATGAAGTCTGACATTAAGTTCATGAACTCATTCTAGAAAAAGTGCTACATACCTCATTGCTGAATATTACAACTGTCGCCTTCAAAAGTACTGCCCTGGGGAAGCTATGCACTGATGCCAACATCTAGTCTACCCTTCAAAGAAATTTTGGAACTCTTTTTCTGGAAAGCTACCAGAGTTGACTTTGTACAATTAAATTTGTGAACTCATCATAGACAAAGTGCTTTGAAAGGTGAACTAGGTGCTGGTGTCAGTGCATAGCATCCCAAGGCAGGTACTTTGAAAGTGACTATAGTGATATTCAGCAATGAGGTATGTAGTGTTTGTTCTAAGATAAGTTCACGAACATAATTGTCCAATCTCATATGTTCTATTCTCTTGCTAGCTCCTTTTTACCACTATCATGGCCTCTACCATCACCACCAGCCCCCTCATCATCACCTCCACCATCACCACCAGCCCCCTCATCATCACCTCCACCATCACCACCAAC